GAGAGTAATTTAGTCAATATTTATTTTAAGATGTGCACCATCAACAACTGGGTCGTTGTAGTATAGTGGTAAGTATTCCCGCCTGTCACGCGGGTGACCCGGGTTCGATCCCCGGCAACGGCGATTTCCAATTTTTGCTAGATAAAATTGAACTGGACTTGGCCCACACATCTTCAGGTCCATTAAATTTTACAACAAATCCAGCAAGTAAGGATGAAACAGAAATAGAAGGCCACACATCTTCAGGTCCATTAAATTTTACAACAAATCCAGCAAGTAAGTATGAAACAGAAATAGAAAATCAAGTCCAGTTCAATTTTATCTAGCAAAAATAGAAGGGGAAATTAGGCCAGTTACCGTAAAAAAGAAACAAATTAGATTAATACACTTCCAACCAAATTAAAACCTTTCGTAACAGTAAATAATACGTCCCCAACCCCAAAATCACCCAAAAAAACCCAAAGGCCTCAAACCAGATTACAAAGAGAAATCCCCAAATTAATTCAAAACAACGATTTCGTCATTCTTGATAGGTGGGAGAACCAAATCTGGTGCTGGACTGGTGACGCTATAGGTGGTGGTGCCGTAGGTGGTGGAATTGCTGGGGGTACTGTGGGTGCGGGAGCGGGTGCCTTTATTGTTAGGGGTGGTGTTGGTGGTGGCTGTTGGACAGGTGAAGGAGATGCTTGTGGTTGAGGTATAATCGGTGGAAGTGCTGGCGGTGAAACCACTGGTGGTGGAGGTACAGTCGGTGGAAGTGCTGGCGGTGAAACCACTGGTGGTGGAGGTTCGATTTACCGAATTATAGTCCACTTTTGACAAAAACGAGCTTGACTTTTAATGGCTTTGAAAGCCCATTCCTGACGCAGCAAGTGTACGTGAGATGAAAAACTGTCACTTTAAAATTGGTGGATTCTGCAAATATTCAAACTATTGACAGGATTTTTGAGAAATCTCATTCAATAATCATAAAAAAATCAAGGGGCTACAGCTTGGGTCTCCATTGTTTTTCCTTTTCTCATTTAAAGGGAACATGGTTGGATGGTACAGCCACCAGTGGTACTGCCAATAGTTTCCAAATGTGTGCATGTGGTCGCGCCGTAAGAAGTGTTCGATGTTCTCATGCTAGTATATGTGATACTATTTACCTTTTTAATCAATGTTTTTGGGCGTGGTTTCACGGAAGAAGATGACTTTTTTGATTGTTTGTTGCAAAGACTCAGCCACGATGTTCGAGAAGGAACGCCAAGGTTTATGATAAATGTTACTTATTTATTGCACTTTTGGAAAATTCACAATGCAAAAATCTAGTGAGTAGTAAAGAGTGTGGAGAGACTAGCCCTCTCGAATGGTGCTGTATTTTCTTTTCCAGTATTGTAATTTTCCTCGATTTCATCAATAAAATACAGCATTTGTTTTCTAGTTCTGATATTGTTCATCAACTGTAGCTGGAACCTTATCACAAACTGAAAGATAAAACAATCCTAACTTTTGATATTTTTGTGACGAAACCCAAGGCGAAATATGATGCACAATGTCACCATAAGAATTATCACCCTTTTTTTTTTGAATGTGTGCAACTTTTTTAATGTGCCTTTTAAATTCGTCACTTTTTTAAAATTTATGTCAATTTTTTTTAGTGTTTCACTTTTTTCAGTCGTTTTCTTGAAATTTCAATCACTTTTTTAGTAACAAATATCAATTTTATCATTTTTTTGTGTGTTTGTAACTTTTTTGAGCGTTTGTCACTTTTTTTTGCCACTTTTCTGAAATTTTTTTCACTTTTTATTGTTTGTTACTTTTTAAAATTTTATATCACTTTTTTGAATAACAAACGTAGGTTTTGATTGGTATTTTGTCCCTTTTTTTAATTTTTGTCACTTTTTTTAATGTTTGCCACTTTTTTAAACTTTATCAATGTTTGTCACTTTTTTTAATCTTTGTCACTTTTTTCAATCACTTTATTGGTTTTTATCACTTTTTTAGTGACAAACGTCAATTTTTAGTAAAAGTGACATTGTATGTCATTTTTAGTAAAAAAGTGACATTTAACTTTAAAGTGACAATGGATCACATTTTTATTGTCACTTTTTTTTACGTAATCATCATGTGGATTTGTCTGAATATGGTGATTATTTTAAGAACATGATTATTGGTGTTGCACAAATGGATTGTGCTATTTTAGTACTTGTCACTTTTTTGAGTTTGTGTCACTTTTTTACAATTTTTTTTTTAAAAAGGTGACATTGTGTCACTTTTTTATTTTACATAGTATTTTTTACTTCCTAAAAACCTTTCACGTGATTTTTCAAAACACCCCTAATTTTAAGGGTATTTTTGTAAGTACCCCTAAATAACGTGTCTTGCTTTCTCAAAAATTTTGTGCAAATGGACCAGTGTCAATATAGTTATAAATGGATCGAATATGGACCGAATCTGCCTATAATCGATCCGATCCGATGAGAATAATTATCCTAGCCAATAATCTAATGGATATTTGATTCTTAAACCCATATCCGATTTGCTATATTATCAGATATTCGATCTGATATCCTATTCGAAACTATAGAAATTAGGAAAAGAAATCAATGTTGGAATTAACTTTTTTATTTTTTCTTTTCCAATTTTTCCAATTCTTAAATGGGTTTAATAATTATAAAATTTTCAACTTTTTTATGTATTGAATTTGATAATTTTTTATGTTTCCATTTATTTAATTTAGTGATAAATAACATGCCACAAATATATTTTACCGACTCAATTATTTATAACAAATCGGATCAGATTAACTTATATCGATATTTGATCCATTTAGTTAACGAATTATGAAATTTGAATTTTGATCGGGTTATTGGATTGAGACTCTAAATTTATCTCCCATTCTTTTCATCGAATTCGGATTAAAATCCAATCCATTGATAACCGTACGCGTCACGTGTTTCAAAACTTATAGCCAAGAATCTAACTTTTACTATTTACGCGTTCTTTCTTTTCATTTTCGTTGTTAGATAGAGTACTAAAATCATCTATGATGAACTCAAACGCAACTCTCTTATTAAACCTTTGATGTAATTTGAACTTATAAGGATTATCCTTATTTCTATTACAAATTAGAAATGTGGTGAGGATTAAAATTGAATTTTTAGTAAATTTTGATAAAAGTTAATCAGATGTGTGGTTAAAAAGTTTTGTGTCGTATAAAATGTGTGGTTAAAATTAATTGTTGACTTTGAGTTAGATTAAAATTTGAATTTTAATTTCTATCAAACAGTTGCTTGATTTAAGTACATAAAAGTAGAAATGACATAACAGCGATCCAATCTCAATAAAACATGCTTTATTTGTTATGCATAAAATCAAAACACGTATTTATTAAGAATAGTGCTTTATTTGCTATGCACAAAATCGCAATCATATAGGCTAGCCAATCCATGTTGAGTTACCATGCCCCAGTTTGATTATTATGATAAGTCTTATTATTAATAAATTTTATAATCACGAATAGTGAATTGTATTTAAATATTATGTGGCTTATTCAATATCAATAAATGTTGTAGATGTTGCTAGTAGGTGCATCCTATGTACCTCCAATTTTACCCTTGAATCGATAAACACAAGTACAATTTTACCCTTTTTCTTGATCAAGAAAATTGGTCTTCGAAAAGGCTTTGTCAACTTTACCCTTTCTCTTGATCAAGAAAATTGGCCATCGAAAAGGGTTTGTTTAAAGGTAGCTCTGGAATAGGAGAAAGTGTGTGCAAATGTTAAGTATCCTTCAGACGTTTCCCATAATTTGAACGAAAAATGAGATTTTCAAACACAAGCTATATAGCATATACAAGATGATAAGTATTTAGACTTTTGGGGACTAAATTTTTATTTTTACTTTAAAAAATATATTATCTACTTTTAAATAGATCAATTTAGTTAAAAAAAAAATAAAAAAAAAAATTCAGGAATTACTCAAAGTGACAAGGGTTGAAAGCAAAGCTGTGAAACGATTGGTTCATTTTCTTGAACATTAAAATCTTCTGACACTCCATACGTTCCTAGCCGATTGATAAGCATTACGTTTATACTTACATAGGAGCTTTTGCAGGGTTTTTATTAATAAACCGGGATTGATTAATATTAATTATGGGTCCTTTATGTTTTAAGATGAAGCCTGAGCTTAAGATGCACAAAAGATAATTATAGAGAGAAGAATTACGTGTTTTGAAGGGGACATGGAAGTTTCGAAGTTAAACTCCAGTCCCCAAAGGTCGAAGACGAAAATTTTCAATTAGAATAGTTTCACTCGAGAAATCAAGAACCACAAAAATCTTGCTCAGATCGGTCTATGTGGCCAATAGATTCCATTACGACACGGTCTAAGTCCATAGTCAAATCCGACTATTGTTCGACGTGCTGGATTGGATGGGCTCAACTATTTTTACATCACTAACAAACTTTTGGAAGGAAAGGGAATCTAATCATCCAAGAAATTGTGTAACTTGCAAAAGTGAATAGGACAACCTATACCTGTCCTTGTGTCGAAATAGGTTGCCATATTCAACTAATAAAATATTGGACATGCATTGCACGAGGCCAAGGCCAGTAGAAGCTTTCAAGAAATCACATATGCCACCTTGCTTTATTGGACTACTCTAATCAAGAAGATAAGATAACAATTAACATTAATGCAAAGAATATTAAATCACCTCGTCTAAAATCTTAAATTGTTACGAGATCTAGCATGTGAAACCATTACTACGTCCTTGGATACCATAAGAGTTACGATCTAATTCAAACGAAAGAATGCTAATCGCAGACGCAATCATCGAAGTTGAAGAAACATAATCGATGGTTTTGCATTCAAGAATATTGATATAACTACGAGCTCAACTTCGATAATCCATATCAATCTTGAAATGCACTATACGCATGAAAATCAACAGGAATTCCATTAGTATAACTATATTAAGTTCCTTAAAAAGACAGAATTACAGCTTACAAACACATCAATGGTCCCTATAAGCAATGTAATTAGCCAAAGCAATCAATGGAGCAGCCTTTTCAGGATCAAATTCAGCAAGCTGTTCTTGAGCTTCCCTATTCAATTTCGCAGCAAATTCTCTCGATTTATCGATTCCGATCAGCTTCGGATAAGTTGTTTTATCAGCCAACAAATCTTTGCCTGCAGTTTTCCCCAATTCTTGAGAAGATTTTGTGACATCAAGAATATCATCCACCACTTGAAACAACAGCCCAATACACCTAGCAAATTTCCTCAATTTTTCAACTTCTTGATCATTTGCACCACCCAATATAGCCCCCAAAACAACTGATCCCTCCAATAAAGCAGCAGTTTTGTGTATGTGAATGAACTCCAAATGGTCTAATCCCACGTCGGCATTTCCTTCGGAACATATATCAACAACCTGGCCTGCAACCAATCCTTCAGAGCCAATACACTTAGCCAATTCACCAATCACCCTCACAATCCTTTCACTAGGCACCCCTTTTGTGGCAACTGCCATATGCTCAAATGCATATGCAAGAAGTGCATCACCAGCCAAAACAGCCACATCCTCCCCAAAAACCTTGTGATTCGTCGGCTTTCCGCGCCGCAAATCATCATTATCCATAAAAGGGAGATCATCATGCATCAAAGACATGGTGTGGATCATTTCAACAGCACAAGCTG